GGCACCCGAGCAGGCTGCGTGTGTCACTTCTTCACGGATCTGGGGTGTCAGTGAAGTCAGTGAAGCTCATTTGTCTCGTCTTCCTCCTCATGTGCCACATCTCACCTGTTGTCTGTCCGAGTTCGTGTGTGTGCGTGTTGTGCGTTCTCAGGCTGTACTCAGTGCTTAGGTGACAAGAACGTCTTAGAGCAAACGGATTGTCTGCTCCTAAAGGACGCTGTGTGTTAATCGAAACAAGTTTTACTTGTGGGGTTTAAATTTCCTGGGTGTGTTGGAGGCAATTAGGGGGAAACAAGCTCTAAAAAAGTCCCTGGGAATGAGGAGGGCAATAATGAAAACAATGACTTTATACATACTTAGCAGTTGATTTAATTTCAAGGTGAATTTTGCATTTTGGGGACTCCTAAAGCTACTGTTCGTAGGGATTCCTTGATGAGCTGCTTGTCAAGTAGAAAGTAAAGTGGATCGGTTTTGCCTTTAACTCTGACTGACTAGAATCTACTTCCCTTTTCCCCCCATTCATGTTAGGGTGGGGATTGGACTAGAAGAGCTGTAGGATCTATTTCTGATCTTAAATGAATTTTTTCTTGACTCAATTTTATTTTATTGGTGAGCTGCTATTTTTTCCTTCAATGCACTGTTCTTTGGTTTGGGAAATGTGCTATATTTGTACCGTGCTTTAAATGTACACAGTGGTTCTAAATTGCTACTTTAGCTATAACATCTTAGTTAAAATGTCATCCATAAATCAGGCACAGTCTGAGGCCTGGAGACCCCTCTTGTCACTTCCTTCCAGCCGTATCTCCTTCCCTGGCCACGTTGCCTCTGGCCACGTCTCCTCTCCCCACTACGTCACCTCTGGCCTCCCTGCCTGCCTGCCTGCCTCCCTCCCTCCCGGTGGCCTCCATGGCTCCTGCTGACTGCCCTCCCGAGAGTCTGTTCAAGGCTCCTTCCCCATTTTCTGCTCCTGAGTGGGTCTCGGGGCCTGGATGTTTCCCATCCAGTTCATTATTTCCAGAGGGGCAGATGATACTACTCACAATATCCTAAACAGGCTGTGAGTCCACCATGCCTCCCAATAGCCAAGGGGGGGGAGAGGGGGTGGCTATTACTCCCCACCTCGCAGGGGATGCCTCACTCCGGGACACAAATGCACAGCCCACTGTGCCTGTAGTTTGTCTTCTAGGAATGGACCTCTTCTTGTATGGCCTCTCAGATGAGATGAAGCAGGCCCACAGGGAGCAGCTCTTCACCGTCAGCTATAGGTGAGTGGGGAGCAGGGGAGACGGTGTCTGGGAATGGAGGCCTTAACGGCACTGATGCAGAAGCCAGTCCTCACTGACCTCGCCTGCCTTCCCCTCGGGTACCTCGGCACTGGGAAGAGCATGCACGGCCTGGCCATTCTCGGACCCGAGAACCCCCAAATCGCCAAGGACCCATCCTGGATCATCAGATGAGTGGCCCTGGCACACCCGACTGTGCAGGAGCCCCTGAGAAAATCGGCCTCTAGAGCTGAATATGAAAAGTCAGAAATGCTACTGCTTTTTCCAAGAATATTATGTCATTCTCAAGGTTTTGCCACTGACTGGCAAGTCAGTCTTAAGAGCAACCAAGAAGACGTTCATTGAAATAGTTATGCAAAGTGCCAAAGATGCACCACATAGAATTTACTTTCTACTGACAAAGGCTAGTTTTACCTCATTAGTTCTAGAATATTTAAGAATCTAAAAATAAAGGGCAACTCTGACTTAACCTCTGCTTGAGTCATTATTTTAAGTAGCATTTAGGGCCTTTATTAAAAAGCAGAAGTAAAATGAAAAGGTACACAAAGGTGTCCCACCTCTGCCTGTGCTGATTCATGAAACTGATCACACTGAGGCCCTGTGGGAGCGTCCTCCTAACAGACAGGGCGGCCAGATGGAAGTAGATGGGCTGGGGTGAGTAAGCCCTCACTTCGTCTTTACAGAGCCAGAAAGGAAAGCCTCCACGCCAGCTCTTGGCCGTTGGACTCCGATTTCCCAAACAGCTGGTTTTTGGTGGCTCCTCTCCCTCCACACAGCTCTCCGCCCACGTTTCTGAGGTACAGCTGTGGTCTCTTGCAGTCTAGAACTGAGACAAACACTGTCCCTACAGGAGGGGTCCCACGAGGACGGCAGGACTGTCACCCCAGCACCCATGTCTACTCTGGCAAGAGTCATCGGAGAGTTCCAAATTAGGGCCCAGCGAGGATGGTGGTTTGGACTGGACGAGAAGCTGGCTATCAGATTTTTCAAACCCTCACCTTGGTGGTCTTAACATGCAGCTAGGATTGCAATCAAGAGGCCGAGTAGATAAGATTCATGTGTTCTCTTTTACTTTCTAAGGAGAGCAGGAGCCTGGGGTCCAGGCCCAGGGTCCTGGCCTGCTGCTGTGGATGGAAACTGACACATGGCAAATATGTAACGGTAAGTAAACATGGCATGCCCCTTGGCCTGTGTAAACTACTGGCTTTGTTCTCCTTTTATGACTTGCACATAGTTCAGTGATCCCTATAAAATTATTTTGATAATCTTTGCCCACAAAACTGCGGAGAAAACCTTTAGTAGCCACCCTACTGGAGTTGTAGGCAAATGTTTAATACGCACATCTGAAAGCATGAGACACAGTCCAGACAGCACGCACTGGAGCTGGTGGGGCACACGGGCGGTGACAGGTGCTCACTGATTAGGTTTTAATGTCAATAATACCTGCATAAAGTGCTGATCAATAACTTAAGTGTTACAAAAATGGATGGTCCACGGTGAGTCCAGGTTGCAGGCACGTGCAGGTGGGACTGGGTCAGAGGTTCTAGGGCTGCATGTGCTCTAGCCGGCCTGAGTCTGACACATTGTAGCTGGCCTTGTATTTGGCCAGGATCTTCATGAGGGGCCGCAGCTTGAGCCACCACCGTTCTTTAGGAATTCTGTGCCTGTGGAGGGAAGGGGAGGGACCGCAGTGAGGCTGGGAGATGCCACGGCCAGCACAGCGAGCGGTATTGCCAGAAACACGGGGGTTGTAGGGTCGGCTGAATCAACTAGATGATAAAGCCAATTTCAAGATCAAACAAAACCATTGTTTTTATATTTCTAAAAATTCTTCCCAAAGACCTAGTGGTAGTTTGTTGTTGTTGTTTTGACACAAAGTGTCGCTCTGTCGCCAGGCTGTAGAGCAGTGGTACAATCTCAGCTCACTACCACCTCTGCCTCCCAGGTTCAAGTGGTTTCTCCTGCCTCAGCTTCCTGAGTAGCTGGGGCTCCAGGTGTGCGCCACCACGCCCGGCTACTTTTTGTATTTTTAGTAGAGACGGGGTTTCACCATGTGGGCCAGGCTGGTCTCGAGCTCTTGACCTAGTGATCCACCCACCTAGGCCTCCCAAAGTGCTGGGATCTTAGGCATGAGCCACCGTGCCTGGCCAAGACCTAATATTTTTAAACTGAGCTTCAGAAAAGCTAGTTCCTCAAACCCCTAAATGAGTTGCCGAACGCAACAGCAATGGCCATTCCCCTGTCCTGTACTCACATTGGCTGGGTTTGCTAAGGCAATAAGACCCCGACTTACTCAAAATCCATTTGGTTCTTCAGCTCTGCCACAGGTTGAAAAATAACGTTTCTTTTGCTGATTCCCAGCACACAAACGGAATCATCAGTGGTCAATGTTTTTCCTATAAAAGGTTTAAAAACAGATTAACACTGCCCTGTCCCATGGGCAGGTGGGGGAGCAGAATCACGGGGTGAGATTCCTGGGAACCATGCTGAACCTGGCCTGGAAGCCTGGGGGAGGCTGAGAACAGCTGTGCAGTGTGGCCAGCACCTAGCCTGGGCTTGCACAGCTCTGCTCTTGTGGGATCACCCTGATGGCTTCCTGGGAAGCAGCTTTTGTTTTTTCTCTCAGTGGAGAGAATTTTTCACTAAATAGTGGAATAGGGAAATTACTTTAAATTATGGCAAAACACTAATAAGACATTGATGCTCACGTATACACACACTGAGGCACGAGAAGCATTCGTAGCTAAATTAGCAAGAGAAAATGGATGTAGAAAGAATCAGTTCTTCAAAAAGACAAACAGATTGAAACTATTCACATCACTGTTTTTTGTAGACTGTCATTCTTCTAAGTCGGACATTGGCAGTGATAATGGTTTGCCCTAATAAAAGCACACATCTGGTATGACTGAAGAAAGCTGAGGGGGGTGGGGGTGAGAAAGATGCTGGCACAAATAACCACTCAGGAATGAGTAGGGACCAGCTATGTTGGAACAATTAACAAGAGTAATGTGTCCTGTTTTCTAAAACTTTTCAGCTTATCTAAAGATTTGTTAGAATATGTAACTAACAAAACTGATTTAAGGAAAAACATGCATAGTTCTACAAACATGAACAATTCATTCAGCAGCCAAATCTTCCTCAAAACTGGAAGTTCTGATGGATGGAGTCACAAGGAGGTTGTCCTACCAAACATCCCCAAAATAGAAGGCCCCACTTCAACTGTGAGGGAAACTGCGGGCTGATGCTCAGGATCTCCAGAGCAAAAAGCCTACACAAAAGAACTTCAGGTTGAATCTAGCAGTGATAAAAGAGAACATGTCACACACACCCAGGAATCCAAGGTTGGTTAAATAGCAATGCTCAGAAACCAGCAGGAGTTAGAACATCACACGCAGCTCAGTACTGAACTGAACAAGGAACCAGCAGCCTACTTCTCCCCAATAGGACAGCATTTTCACCAAGGCAGACGGCCTCCCTCCCCGGACCCCTTACCTCTGCCCTGGGCCTCCTTGAGTTTCGCAGTGATCCACTCTGTAGCTCTGGCAGAGATTTTGGTTCCAAAGTTTCTATCAAATGGAGAAGGTGCCCCACCCTGTTGGGGGTTAGAGTCATATGAAATATCAGTTATACAGTCACACTTTGCTGTGAAATAGAAATGACGATTTCTATTTCACAGAATTTATGTTTTTGTTTCTAAGTCTTTAGGGATAGCTGGAACAGAACAAAACAAAATCTGTGATTCCTGTAGCCTGAACTCAGCCTGCTAAGCAAAAGTATCAAGTGTTACCCCCTGCCCAGTAAGAGAAGGATTTTAATAAATGGAACGAGTCAACTAACCATCTCCAATATTTTAAAATCTTAAATCAAGATTTCATAAACTCATCTGGGGTGGGGATGGGTCACAGCTTTAAGAATCTGATAACCGTTGTGGATTCTTTGACAAAGTCACACGGACGCCTACTATTTCATCATTTCAGGGGATTCATGAGCTCTCTGAAATAAGTTCACGGGCTCTGGTTTAAAAGTATAAAGAATAGGAGGTGGTGAAGGAGGAGTGTGTGGGAGTTAGGAATCCTGGACCGCTGTGTCCCAGGCTCAACTCATAACACGCGTGTGCCTGCATGCAGCTCATTCCAGGTCATTCTGATTTGAGGGTGAGTGTCAAGTATCTTACACGTCTGATAATCCATTTTAAATCTTAGAAAGCTCCAGTTTTTAACCTGATGCCGTGTTTAGTTTGAATAAGCATTTCCAAGTAATGGGGGTGTCACTGTTTTCATGAAAGCTGACAGTTCCCTTAAAATCCCCATTTACTCAAGCCTCACCAACAAAAGAAGCCTAAAGCTGCTGATGTTTGGCATGACTTAAAAGTTTAGATGTTTTGGCTGGGCACGGTGGGGATCATGCCTGTAATCCTGGCACGTTGGGAGGCTAAGGTGGGCGAATCACCTGAGGTCAGGAGTTTGAGATCAGCCTGGCCAACGTGGTGAAACTCCATCTCGACTGAACATACAAAAATTGGTTGGGCATTGTAGTGGGCGCCTGTACACCCATCGACTCGGAAGGCTGAGGCAGGAGAATCTCTTGAACCTGGAAGGTGGAGGTTGCAGTGAGCCAAGATTGCACCACTGCACTCCAGCCTGGACAACAGAGCAAGACTGTCTCAA